ATATGATAATTGCTCATTATTGCAAAATCTGTGAACGAGCTTTGGGATGGGACGGGAACTGGTTCATGCTTGATCGCCTACTGACACCGCCTGAGTGTAGATACGTGCGTGCGTTCCTGCAAGCGTGGTCAAATATGTAAATAAAACGTGAATCATGCCATATGGAAACAGGGATATGTAAATCAGATGACGCGCCCAATGAATTATTATCTTCTGTCATGCACTGACCAGAACTGTAAATATTTTACACCTTGATCAAACCAACTAATAATAAATAATAACTGAATTCATTTATATGAATTTCGACGGGCGTTACACAGATGTTCTGTTAGGCGATCGCGACCGCGGTGAACACTCGCGTGTTTACGATGTACTCAGCTGATAAATCATTAACCGTGAATATGTGCTCAACATCAGTTGGGATGATATGCACAGGAAAAAAAAGGAACGTCTGAGCCCCGCAATCTATAGCAAATTAGGCATTGCTCGGATGAGGGATGAAGTTGTGTGACACAGCTGCATAACACATATAATTGTCCCCTGTCCCCTGGGGTATACAAAAGCTCGGTAAGCCAGTTTTTATTCCGTCTTGCTGCTTGTGATTATTCCCTGATTTGATAACGTTGACGCACAACCGCTTCACAATAGTACTTTATCAGATGAACAGTTACCATCCAATTGTGACCAGTAGACAGAACAATTTGTTGATCATGAATAGCTTTGTCAAAGTAAGATTTTCTCTTAAATTGGCCCTCGCTTTCGCATTTTAATAGTTCGATACTAAAATAATACTGGATTTTTCGTGCAACAATTGGATGTTGTTTATTATAGATTGATCATTTTTATTTGTGCATGCTTTGTCATTTTCTTTTGAGTACTATAAATTTCGATGAAATAGAAGTGCATGATATGGATATGATATGGTTTGCATCACGTTGAGGACAAACATGCAAGTGAGACCAAATGTAATTTGTACGAGACAATGTTCCGTAAATGTTCTAATAATTTTCTATTTTTCGTGTATAATGGCATCAAAAAAATTCCAATGTTGTGCAGCTACGCGTTGAATGTCAAGTACTGTTCTGGGAACGACCTTGGTTGGACGAATCGGAAAAAATAGCCCTAGAAAATTGTCGTCGTTTCTTTGACGATGGGACTGCCGCAAACCACGAAGTTCGGCTTTCACGCGAAGAGGAACAGAGTGAAGACTTCAAAGCGATGCTTGATCAAATGGCTAAACTATACCAACCGGGTGTACCGATCATCTATGACGTTGACAAAATCCTCAATGCTCGCGTTAAAGTAGCGTTCAATTTATCTTTGACTGACTTTTGTATTTATAGCATGACAAAATCAGAAATATTACATTCAATATCATTCTGAAACCGGCTGGTTGCAACAACTCTCTTCCTGGATCGGAAGAACCAGAATGCAGGAGTTGGAATGAACAGGTGAGATATTTTTAATCGAACCTCTGCTTTTCTGTTTTTTTGTGATCAGGACAAACAACGGACTGTCTGCACTTATCACTCTCGGCTACATAATGTATTGTCATCTAATTACAGATTTGAAATGTTTGCTTTTAATATGCCTAAATATTTGTTTTATTCCCTTCGGATAACTTATTATTTAACCTACGTTTGACTTGTTGCTTATTTGCATTCAACCTATGCAACCATTTCAGAGCAGTACACATCGACAGCTTTGTTATCAGTGAAACGGTAGGCATTGGGCTAATCGCATGGAAGTGGCTGTCAAAGTGTTCACATTTCTGTGGTATAAGTTTAATCAGCAGCTCTAGAAACACCGGAACCGTAATTGAGGTCAAACGAACATCATAAACGGACACTTCTAGTTGTTTACTACGCAGCTGCCTGCCTTCCAGTGTTCCAAATAACCTTTCAACTGAGTGTTGAACTGGTCCCCACTAACTTCAAACCGTCATTTTATCAGTAACATAAGGCGTATAAATCAATATTTTCCTTCCATCCTGGGCGGTATATTACATTGCATTAATTCTCAAATTTGTTCATTCACTATGACAACAGGATCAAGTCAGCTGTGAGGGCCAAATTTCCGAACATCCCACAGGTTATCGAACAATGAGTTTGCGTAATTGTCGAGTTTTGTGGAAAACGGAATCCGAGCGTGCCTTGACGAAATCTGAACAAGCAAGCAAATGGTTCCGTCAGAGCGTGCATGACGCGATTAAACTTCATCAGTCCAGTGTGGCATCAAACAATCTGTTCAAACTGCGTTCCATCGAAAACGGTACATTACGAGTAAGTGCAATTAGCTCCCCCAACCCCGTCCCACGAGAGGATGGAGTTGCACAGCGACACACTCTAACCACCTAATTCTTTCTCGTTCTAGCGAAGTGATATTGAACTGATAAAGTATCGGATGATCCTAACTGAAACTGATTGCGCCAAGAGTGAGCATGATATTGGGAGTGACGATGATCAATGCCCCGAGAAGGAGCCTGCGGTAAGTTGCGATTTCTTACCCATCCCACTCTTTGTTCTTCTTTGGAATTCACAATAGCTTCCAAGAAAAAGTCGTATAAACCTCAATACATTAATATTCTAAGTGTTAGGAGCTTTGAAAAGCTCAGTTTATGGGCATCTACGATGATCAAACACTGCTCCTAGTACAAACACCCCCATCTAGAAATGTGTTTATTCAGCAAAATATAACCCGTCAGAATGAAAATGTGGTGTGCGGCCACGAAAAATTCAGTTGGCCATTAGCTGGAAGTCGCACTAGAAAAACTACAAAATTATTCACCTTTTTGATCTGGGCTACAATCTGACTTGGGAAAACCTTTGGATTTTTCTTGTACATTGAATATCAGAAACAAAAGCAGACAAATTCTATAAACTGCACAAAGAGCGCATAAAATTTCGCCCGGTTTCAAGTCAAACGTATCAGCCGGGAAGTTGGGAATTCGCATGCGATTTGAGGTTTTCTTTATTTCCATATTTTTACCAATTTGTTCACAATATTTTCGCATGCAGTAATGCTATTATTGCTAGAATTCCATTTTGGTAGTTTGAAGAAGGAAATAACACAGTTTTTCTCCTCAAAAATATAGAACTTCCGCACTCGTAGTTATTCATCATACCAATAATGAGTCGATTTTACAACCGGTCCACTATGTCACGTATCACGGAGAAGCCATAGAAAAACATTTGATAATCATTTCGTTTTGGAAAGAAATTCACATTATCATGGATTTGAGAGGCTTCACCACAATACCACAATATTCTTAAACACAAATGCTTGATCTATGAGCTACTGCCATCAGATCAGCACAAGTTGTTCTGGATTTTGGAACTCTATTGCAATTGATGCGTGTTTTCATCTACACAACCCAAAGAAGGTTTGGCTGAAAATTTCTTTCTCATATGGTAATACGATTTTATGCACAATCCAAAGTTGTTTTTTCGACGTAGTTTGCAATCGCAGTTGTCGATTTCCTTTCTCCTCGTTCTTTCATCTCTTTCTATTGGCAAATCTCTGAATGCAACAACTTTCTGTAAAGAGCAGTTGACTGATCCATGGACTTAATTGTGATAAAGTAAAACGGGAAAAGCTGCGTGTTAACGGCAATGGTAGGGGGGTGGGTGTAATAAGTGGATGACCTGGACCGTTTGAGTATCGGTTTCAGACTGAGGTTTGAAGTGAAATTTTCCGTACATTTAGTCAACCGTATATTGCATTTTCACCTCTGTCATAGATCATCAGTAGCGCGTTTCCAAAAACTCATTGATTTTATTATATTTTGGTTAGCACGGTTGCACCACACACGGTTTATATGTTAGTGGTTCGCGGTCTGACACGGTGACGGGTCTGAAGAAGTGCACTACTGATGAGTTCCGTCATGAGTTAAACTCCGGTCCGGTACTTTATGAGTAGGTAATGTGAAGAATGTACGTTGAGAAAAGGTCTCAAGAAAGACCGATCAAATTTACAAAGAATCACTGAGAACGAGATTTACTGGCGTATCGATTATGTACAAGAGCGTTTGAAACGGAAATTGCGAAGAAAACAGATTCACTATTTTTAGCTTTCGTCTTCTTGAATGTTTTCGGACCAACTCGTCTGAGAAAAAAAAGGTTTATCTTCAATTGCGTTGCATAATGAATTTCTCATTCTAAGCGGTGTTGATCATCATATCCTGGTTTCTTCCCTCATGCCGAAAATCGATAACAGGTTCTCCAAACATGCCAAGTCGAATTGCGGCGGAAGCCCGATCATAGTCATGATTTGTCGATCAGTTGTTGAGCCGATTCCGTTCAGGATGAAACCCCGCGAGCAAAGCATCAGGATTCAGTTAAACGAGACATTTGCTTGTCAATGATGACGTTTTAAATCTTTACCTTCGTTCAACGCTTGCTATTTGATTTTTGCTTTTTTAGACTTTCGCCTATTTCTGCTATCCATGTACAATGTATTGAATGTTTGCCACTTTCATACAAAATAATAGTGCAAATAAATTTATTACACATGGGCCGGTCGAAAGTTTTCACCTCAACCGAGTGTTTGCATGTAGCGAATATCTACCTGCCCTTACCAATTGGTACTAGTTGCATAAGACTGGGGAATAACTGTGGTTGAATAGAGTCTGATCAAAATTTGTTTACAGAAACGACTTTGGCCTGGTCAGTCAGTAAACTTCTGACAAAGTCATTATGAGTCTACATACGTTATACTTATGACGCATATCAAAATGATATTCACCTTTTGGAAGGCGTGTTAGACTCCTTGGATGGGACCTCGCGAATATGGTAACCAGTAGCTAAAAACAATGAGTAATAAGATAGATTATTGAAAACAATGACGCTCGTGCATCTACTCATGATATTTTCAACCTCAGTCTATTACAATTTCCCATCTTCGCTTTGACTCAGTTCTCAATATTCTAATATTTGTTCTGCTAGTTAATCCCAATGGGTAGCCTGAAGAAAGCATCCGAAACTGCCGCATGTATATGCCTGGTTAATGGTCGTACTGTTCTAACTAGACTGACCTTTGAACTTGTAGAAGTTTGATTTCAGTTGCATAATGAGCAAGAAAAAAGAGAATAAAAACAATATCTTTCGGATACTCTTTTGATTATCAGTATTCCAATACTTGTCCTTAACGGTTTCAACCAATTCGGGGAACGCCCCCAGCATGAGCGTTGCCAATCGGATTCGTTAACCCTAATTCAACTTAGAAGGCGAACAACCAGTTTTTGCATTTAGTAAGAAAAATCATTTTAGAGTCGCGCAACCACGTTTTCAGATTTGTCTGGCTCCCGAAACGCTTCTGGTTTGAGAACCTGGTTTATCAAAGCCCATGATTCACCTGAGCCCGCAAAGAAAATATGTTCTATTTCAATATATATCTACGACACATTTATTGACGGCATAGATCTAACTGCGAGCATCTACTCCAATGCTTGCAAAAAAAGACAGCAGATAAAAATACATGTTTCACTGCGTCCGTATCGATTCCGTTTCAGTATCCCACTGACTTTTGTCAATGAAAACGGTTAGTGGACAACATTTACATGATTGCGTGTGTGAGTGTGGCACACTGTAATTTTATTCAAATATCCCTTATTTGTGTCTGGTTAAAGTTTATTTCCATAGGGATGTGCCACCTTTTTACCGTCTGTGCGACTGTATTTGATTAGCTTTGTCCAAGTTCGTCAAACATGCATTTGATTTAAAACTGTTGCGGATTCCCAGAAAGTGGCACAATAATCAAATTCGCTCATTTCTGACCTTTAGACTACCACGAATAACTTTTATCCAGAAGTGAGGGGATCATTTGTTGACAGTTTTTCGGATGAGAAACACAGAGAACGGCTGAAGAGTGATTTAATAAATATTTTAGTTTTTCTCATCTTCATTATACCGATCCTGAAAAATTTTAAATGAATATGAGAAAGTATGAAATAAACATTCACTTTTTTAGTTACAAGAGTATTATCTTAGTACCGGAAAAGCCACTAATATAATAAAATGTGAAAAAAGTTGTTTGCGTTCTGGCTTGAGTAGTAGTAATAGTTATTGATATGTTTAATCCTCAGGAAAATGCCCATAGCTGCATTTAGAAGAGAATTGTAATTAAACAATTGCATTTAGTAATTCAGCAACAAATTTGATTTGCAAATAAAACCAGAAGCTTGACAGGATAAACTCCGGATAACGGCCAGACCCTTGAATTTCGGCCGTGCTTTTTGAAATTGGACAACTATTAACGTTTTTACGGTGGATACAGTGGACTGTGAACTTTTACATCAATTCATCAATTTTTCAAGGTCAAATACTGACCTAAAGTTCCTCCAATATAAAATTCCTTTGTGCCTTCGCGAATGATATTGGAATTTCAGCGTTTGCTCATATCGTGAGGAATCGTTACAAATGGCTAAGAAATAGCCGTTAAGGTCACCATCATAATCATCGCCTTGACTGGTGGGTTGCGCTGAGGAGAAGTTTCATCAACAGCATGACGATTCCGTCCATTTGTTCGAACAACATTTTCTAACTTGTGCCAGTTTTTTGCCTCTGAAAATCAATAAAATCCTGGTCCAAACCCTTGCGTATCGAGCAAAGAGAATTTATTCGGCAAACTGTTTACTTGAGGAACTGGAAAGTTTAAAGCAAACACTGTTTGACAACGGTTATCCGGAACGAAGAAGAATTTGACGGTGCGGCCTACAAGAGCACCACTGACTATAGGTAAAAGAAAAATCTCTTCTCAAGACCTCCTTTTGAAGTAGATAATGAGTCTGAATTACTAAGACGCCGACTGGAAAAGGCCATCGCTCGTACTTTCCCTGTGGCAACGTTACGTACTCAATTCACAAGCAAACGAATGGTCTCCGAGACAGCCGTCCCCTTACCTCTAATGACCTGAACTATTGCGCATGTGTGAGGATCAAATTTTGAGCAACATTCGGTCATCGAACTGGAATGTTGATTATCTCTTTTCCAACTTGTAATGATATCTCCCCCTTCTAAACACATGAAGTTTCACATAAATTGTGATGTATTAGGTTGCAGACGAATCACCAGAAACGAACTTGTTCTCTACTTGGTGTTTCCTTACAATGGTTAATGATGGTATACTCGGACAATTGAAACGAGCCGAATACCCAATCGTACTAAAGGATGTAAACAATGATGTTAAGTTCCCTACGTAGTTGGCTGCGGCGAAGACATGTGTCCGTTTCATCGATGACTATGTTGAAGCCTGCCAATTCCCCATAACCTACACTAAGTTTCTGCGACGAAGTCGGACTCGCATTGCCAACGTTCCACTGCAACGTCATGCTTTTAGTGAAAGGGACACTATCACAGGACGTATCGACGAACTGAACCGGAATTTAGTCAACAGTGTTCGTGTGCTCAAAGTGTTGTCACCCGCGGAACGCCATCATCTAGAATCTTTTGTGCAATCGACCGAGGAGAAATGGGTGGAATGTAAACGTCAAACACAACAGAAATTGATTGATCCAACAAAACACGCTAGTGAGTTCCTAATCAACC